GGGACGGCAATGCCCATGGAATCGGTCCCGCCGTCCCACGAGCCCTCCTCTTCACACTCGGCAACAAACTGATAATAGCAGACTTGTCTGGGAGGATAGTAGCACCGATCCGATACATCGGTAGGCCACCGGGAGTCATTGTAAAAGCCAGATATGCAGTCAGTCACCTCTAACGATGTTTAATGAATCGAGTGTACAGTGTATTCCTCAGGGATTGATCAACGTCGACAGCACCATCCTTTTTATCGTTTTTGATCCTACTATGGATATAATTTGAAGTTATTGAGGTTGAATAAGTTATGTTAGTCACTTTTTGGTTTATTATCACACCATATAGAACAGTTTACAAACAAAATCCTACGAACATCTTACGAAACAGTGGGAATTCTTGTCCCGTTTCCTTTGTTTTTTTCCACTGTCACCCATTTTCACTCATTCGTCCCCTTTCTGTGCATAGATATTGATTATCCCATTGCTTATCAACCTGTATGTTTCTTTTTTCACTTTTAGCTAATTTTTTTTTGAGCTAGTTTTGTATTTCACGTAAGAAGTATCCGCTTTTCTATCTATCTCGTATCATTCGCAACTCTTGAACTAACTGCTCTATTAGCCTTCATAGTGGCTATATTAAAAATGAGTATTTTTTAAATTAAGATATCCTTTAAAGGCCTTTGCTCATAAGAAAGACATAGCTTCTCTCATCGCTTTTGTGATAATATAACCGCCGACCATATAGGTGGTCGGCTGCACGGCTGCGTTTAGATGCATCTTGAAGATTTACGGTATTCTGTTCTTCTTTGATGAATACCGACTGAAGTGATGGAGATGAGAATTGTTTTGCTTGGAACACCGAAATAGTTTTGCACGGTATTTAAGCTTACAATTACTCTTGCCCTTACACTTTGCCCACGCTTAAGCTAACGCTTTTGATTCTCTTACGATTGCGCTCACGCTGTCATCTACGCACACGTTGGCGCTTGAGGTTAAGGATCCCGTTGCGCTTAAAATTACGGTCACACTTATACTCGCGCTTAGTCTACGCTTACGCTCTCGGTTATGCTTTCGCTTGCGTCTTCGCCTAAGCTTACACCTACACTCGTGCTTACGCTTTCGCTTTCGCCCGCGCCAACGAAGGAATAATAAGACGAAGGGATGAGACCACAAAAAAGGATTAGGACGAAGGAATGAGATAACGAAAAAGGAAGAACGTGAAGGAAGTAGAAGACAAGAAAAGAAGACGACGACAGAAGAACAGGAGGAAGAAATGAGACGATGAAAGATGAGAATGCGAAAGAAGAATAAGACGAATCAGGAAGATAACGGCCGTCCTCCTTCGTTGACTTGATCCATCGTCTTCTACTTCTTTCCCGCTGTCTTCGTTCGCCGTCTTATTCCTTCGTCGTCTTCTTATTTCTTCTCTCACTTCTTTCACGCTGCTCTTCTTTTGTCCTCTACTTCTTTCGCATTCTTCTTTTTTTGTCGTCTCATTTCCTCGTCCTCTTCTTCTCTCGTTGTCTTTTTGTTCTTTATCTCACGTCGTCTTCTTCTTTCTTCTTCTACTAACTTCTTTAGCTTCTTCTTTTTGGTCATTTAGCTTCTTCATTCTACTCTTCTTTTGTCACCTTTTGTCTTCTTCTTTCGTCATCTCATTCCTTCCTTGTCTTCTTCCTTCGCCTTCTAATTGTTTCGGGTTTTTCTTCTTTAGTGTTCATGTTCGACTTCTTTCGTTGTCTTCTTCTTTCCCGCTGTTCTTATTTCGCTTTCTACCTCTTTCGCAGACTTCTTCCTTTGTCGTCTCCTTCTTTCATGGTCTTCTTCCATTTTATTCCTCTTTGCTCGCCTCATTCTTTCGTCATACTCTTCGTTCGCTTTCTTGTTCTTTCACCTCATTCTTCTTTTGCCGTCTCATTCTCTCGTCGTCTTCATCTTTCGCCGTCATGTTCTTTCGTCGTTTTCATCTTTCGTCTTCTGCTTCTTTCGCATTCTTCTTCCTTCGTCCTCTTCTTCTGTCGTCGTCTTATTCCTCCATTTTCTACTTCTTCCGTCGTGTTCTTGTTTCGAGTTCTTCTTTCGTCCTCTCATCCCTTTGTCATTTGGCTATTTAGGGTGGAATATCGAGAAATTTATATAATTAACGGTGTTGAATTAGTGTCATGTGTTCCGGATGTCACGAAAACCTAGGCAATTTTGGTATTTGTTCTCTTTTCCAATATAGCCGTTCAGAATTTGATCGCTTTTGACTACGCAGTTTTGGACTGCTATGGCAACCGTAGGTAAATTTAAGGACAAGATAAATACGTATGTTCAATATGACGACTGAAGCTGAAGAAAAGTGAACAGGAATATGAATGCGTCGTTTTCTTGTTCAGCAATCGCGAGGTTGTTAAACAGCATACGTTTACTTCCATGCAATAGTACACATTCAACACAATCGTAGCTGACGTTTCGGCCGTACCACCTTCTTCAGAGCTTGGAAAGGTATTGGAAAATTAATACGAAACTTACTAGGTCAAACGCTTCAACAGCACAAACAGAAAGATGAAAATCTGAGCGATAATTTTAAGATCTACGGCCTCTCGAAAAACCCACTGCTTTTTTAGCTGTCTTTCACTGAGAAAGAACAGCCGCTCAGAGTCGCATATAGCTGACGACTGCACCTCCCCACATCAACAATCGTTGCGAAGGTACAGGGCGAGATCACGGTTGATCTCGGGGCATTCCTCCCTGCTGTTCATTGTAGGGTTTTGGCATTTATCCGAAAAGCCTCAAGAAGCTTGTGCCCTGGTGTTTTTGCATCCTGTGCCAGGATAGTGACTTTTATATCAAAATCGTCTCCGCTATGCTTTTGTATCCTATGCGTGCCTAGTGGGGTACTTTGTCTTGCTTTTCGTTTGCCATCCATGCGTTCTTTTATGTAGATACATGAAGGTCCACCCGTTTCGCCAATACATTCATTTCTGCAACTATTACAAGAGATTAGGTATATTCTACCTGAACTCATACAATCATCATCCCTGCCGTAAGGGCGAATTATGCAGTTTGGTGTTTCACATAGACGGTCATACAGCCGGTTACGAACAAACTGACGACATACAGTTTCCGATGGTATTTCCACTATCGCTACCGAGTCCTCTTCACCTGCCCTTCTTAAGCATCGTTTTATAGCTACAATTACTTAATCGCTAATGAAACGCAACATAGAAGGGACAATTTCTTTGGCCAAGTTTTTCGTTTTGGTGCGCGCTCTTCTAAATCTAATCTTCTCTTCTAAATGCCCTTCTCTTCTAAAGCTTCTTCTAAAAAATCTAAATCTAAAAATTTATCTCGTTCGGTTACTATTTCCTTAGCCATTGGAGATGGCTATTTGCCGAGCCAAGTCGCACGATTCCTCTTTTATTCCCCTTTTCGTGCACACAGAGTTCGTTGTTCGAAACGTATTTTTCACAATCGTCCTTTTTGTGTGTGAAGGGTTGGAAGAGAGGGAATAAACAAGAATGTTCTCATTACTTGGTTTTCGCTACCACTTTGCCATGCAACCGCTATGATAAGTTGATGTGAACGTTGACTAATGGAAGCCAATTTTCATTCAATTTCTCCCGGATGAATTTAATGTACTCAAACTGCCTATTCAATAAATCAAAGCATCTGTCCATCTCCTCTTGAGTAGAGAAATTGACAAAACAGTCATCTATGTATCTGCAGTAGAGTAGCGACCTGAGATCGATAACAGGGGCTTCCATTCTAGGCCTGAACGCGATGGCAAGACTTGGTGCCAACCGCTGTCCCACTGCCAACCCTCTCATTTTTAAGAAAAAAAAATGTATGGACTGCCAATCCAACAACTAATGACTGTCTTAAAACAGTGTCTTTGTTGTTCATTTTTTAAGTGGTCAGGAAGATATTTTGCACAAATTATATAGGTTTGGCCGTGGAACAGCTATAAGCACCAAGTCTTGCCATCGCTTTTATGTGTAAGAACCAACCGGAACTGGTTTCCATTTTTAAACATTCAAATGTTTTCAGAATGTGGTTATATAACAAGACGGTATCGTAAGCCAAGCAGTAGAAATATAATAGTGCGCTACCTCTCCTCTTATCCTTCACACATTAGAAAAGCACTCATCAAAAACAGATGCCGGACAGGTGAAAATGTGTGCATAGGAGGAGAGGGATGGTAGGAATCGCTAAACTTGGCAAGAAAAACAGCCATTTCCAATGGCTACGAAGGAGAAGCCACTCTGGTCGGCCTAGAAGGTAGGGTCATTCTCCAAAATAGTACTTGTTTGCCTTTGATTCGTTACTTCGTTCCCATGTTTTTTATTTCTACCGTTTTAAAAAGTATTTTTTACGAGTAGATGGGTTTTGAATCACCGTCAATCGCTTTTTGTATTTTCTTTAGAAAGGCGATAATACTAAAAAGAAATAGGAAAGTGAGACGGCCAGGGACCCAAAGCCTGACTTTTCTTCACAACAAGCAGTAGCTGCTCTTAGTATTGCTTTAAATGAGATGGGTGAAAATGTTGGTTTGCAGAAAAATAACCTTATTTCGTAAATTCCAAGCTGTCTGTTGATATTTCAAACGGTTTTAGTTCCGTATCCTTGTTTTTCCCTTTGAATGCCACTCTACTAATATCATTGTGCTAGTTGAGTCTCTTACATAGAAATTTAGTTATCCTATGCTTTAGATGACGTTTTGAATGTACAGACATCTTGTTTCGATGCAGCGAAAGATTTGGGGAGCAGTTCCTCTAGCTTTTGCATTGATCTCAGTCTGAAATCCACAGGTAAACATTCTACAAGCGTTGAGCAAAATTCCTCGCGATACCGACGCAAATACTGCCCATAATCCTATCTTCGATATGAGTTTGGTGGGTCATGTACTGTTGGTTATTTCTATGCTGATTTTTTACACAATTCATGGATGTCTTACTTAAGTAGCATTCAAAAATGGTCAACCATGCTGCGAGTTCTTAAATCAATAATATATGCATATCTTTACAATGACAGAGTTCATGTGCCTTATTGCACTTGCCACGTAAGGTCGGTGTTGGAACCAACAACGCTCCTCTAGTTGCCAAGTTTCGATCGTTGACTTTCTATCACCATAACGATCAGGTAGTTATTCTTAACGCATTTGTGTGGGAAAAGCGGTACATGTTTCATTTTCTCATCAGCTCTTATTTTACTGCACTGCTGTTGTCCTTTTTTTTACGCCTGGTGTTAATTCAACAGCCTATCGAACAAAAGTGTTGCACCAAGTGTTGACCACTGAAAGCAGTTCAGAACACTGAGTGTGTTCTTAAAATGTCTTTTTTCGAAAAAGCTTACTCATCCAGTGAAAAGACCACAGCAGGGACCATTGCGGGTTAGAAAAGCGCAATTATAGGAAAAGTAAGTAACAACTGATGAGACGACAACCAAGGCACTTCGGCAACCCGTGACATCCTTGAGTCCAGTGATCACTTCCGTTTCTCAGGCATATGCTAACTCATTATTTGTTGTTAATGGGAAATTTGCCCAATATCTCCTTTGTGGGAGCAAATTTCTCTGTGTGGGTCGCATATGACTGGAGGGGGGGTGAAGTCTCGTCCTGCACAGTGCTCACACAGAATTGGATGTTGTCGTAAATGTAGTAACACAGTCTACATTGGTGATAGAACTTACTTATGAATATAAATGTGATCTCCTTTCAAGTATCTCTGATGTTAGTACCAATAGCTCAAGGGCTTACTCATGTTGGGAAAGGAATAATAACACTGAATCCATGCCATTTTGATCGCCTATTTCTCTGTCCATGTGCTATCGCAGCACTGCTCACTATGTGTTTGACATTTTTGTGTGCGAATAATCCGATATTTTCGAAATTATTCGCGATGTCCCGACATTTTTACTAAAGTTTCATCCTCGTTATTTTAGGTACGGAATAGCAACACTACTTGCTCTATGGCCTAGTAATACCTATCCAACCTCGTATGATAGTTATGTTATTATGATGACGAGAAGAAACGTGGTCATCTTAAGCAGGTCTCCTAACATTTTCATTCTCACTGTTTTGCATTTTCTTCTTATGCAGAGTATTTATTCCTGTTTCTTTCATGTTCCAGGCTGGCGTGACAGTAAAGGTTGGGCATGCGGTGGACACCATGAAACATGTTGATAAGGTAAAAACGACCACTGGATTCCAGACGCATACTACATCCATCCTACTGGCATATTGTAAACGTGCTAAATTAGCTAACAAAAGAATGAGAGTTCTGCACTAGTGTATGCGTATACGCGGTTTTTTTTAACAGCAAGCTGACAGTACATGCGCTAGTGTTCATGTAATTTTTAGACATTACAATGACTCCTTACTTGGAAGGCTTGATACTTGAACGACCGTCATCACTAGTTGTGCGGGCCTATGAGAGGAAGTTAAGAGTCATCTCTAACAAATAACGTAGTCTTCTGCTCTGAGAGAGACTGGCAAGCTATCCGTGAGTATATCCAGCGCAAAGTGCAGAGCTCAACAAGCTATACGTGGATATAAAAAAATTAAACGCAGCGAGATAAAAGGACCCCATTCCCATAACTCCGGTAGAACTCCCGATTCGAGAGCGTTGAGTAGGACGATAACGGAGAGGCTGCTAAAATCTAAGGGTAATTCTAAGCTGCTTAAATCGCAAGGGATTAAGGTGACGATCGGTGCTTACACCGCATGCACATTTGCATCCGAGTCCTCGATAGAAGACTTGATTACAAAAGCAAGAAGGACAAGGTGTGATGTCATCAGACTGGTTGAAACGAAGAGGCGTTATCTGTTCAACGCCCTTTACAACAATTGAGAACTGTTCCTCGAAATATGAGTCAGTTGAGGGGTTGGTGGCACTGGAGTTTTCGTCAACGGGATTTCGGCCATTAACATCGATTCATTCGAACAATTAAAAATACGAATCCGACGCTTACGACTGAAGAGATGTGATTCAATATCAGCGATGACAATCCTCTCCTTTTACACACTGACATTAAACTATGATGAAGACGAATTCGAGGCGTTTTATATGGACTTGGGAAGTACTAAAGGAAAAAAAAAACATCAATTCTTTTAGGTCATCATTGGAAAATTAACAGTAAAATTGCACCGAGAAGAAAGTCTGAATAACGTCTCGGCGGGATCCACGGATTAGTATGGAACGAGAAGGGTGAACAGCTGTCCCATTTTCATGATGACTAAGACTATCCACGGTAAATGGCGATTCCAGTGACCCCACACTCAACCCTCCATGTGGTTGTCTCCCAGTTGAGAGTACTATAACGAAATAGACTATATCATAGTAAACAGAGGGTGTTGTGTAACTATGTCAATGTTGTCCCAGAATTCTACACGGGATCACACCATTGCCTCCGTCGTGCAAGATTTCTTTTCCCGAGGAAAGACAAAAAAGCCGTTAAATACAAAAACCGAGCCACCAGAACTACCAAAAACTGAAACCTATTTAGTTCATTAGCTGGCTGTTGGGAGGATGCCGTTCTCGATAACATCGACGAGGAATATGATCGGCTCATTCAACACCACGTTAGCACTATGAAAGGTGAAAGTTCTAAACTCTCTAAACTATGCCTGTCTACAGAAACACTCTAGCTGATACGCTTGTGAAAACGCATGCGTTAAAGGCAATAGCCAAATCACGTCTAAACTAGTAAAACGATGCAGATAGGTGACAAAAGAAGGACTAAATGAGAGAAGAGCAGCAGTTATTACCAAAGATGCAGAGAATAGGAAAGGCATTTGTAAAACCCACCAAAGGTTCGTCAATTACAAAACTAAAACGGCTGCACAACGATGCCCATACAAAACAGTCACGGGTTCCAGAAAGGCAATGCAGAAAATTATTTACGATTATCACTCAGATCTTTTTAACAGCCACGTCCTCCTGCTCTCATATGAAATAAAAGAGGATGGATATCTCGCCCTACCGGTTCTCTGTTCCGAAATCCGACATATTATTTGGTCGTTGAAGACCAGAAAAGCACCAGGTCCGGAGAGGATAAGACATGAACATCTGAAGAACCTAACGCCAGTCGTTACAAGCACACTGCCCCGACCCTTCACACATTACATGTTAGAATGCTAGATCACTAATCAGTGTAACACCAACAAGACCGTGTTATTGTTGAAGAAGAATTGTCTCCGCGATATCGGCAACTATCGCCCAATTTGCTTCCTATCTGTCGCCTAAGAACTTTTCCCTCGAGTTTTATCAAACAGGATTGACAGAACAATGCATGAAGGAGATCCATGTGAGCAAGCAGTGCTTCGAAGAGGGTTCAGTACGACGGATTACATCCATACGATAACAAGACACATCGAAGTATGGCGAGAGTACAATTGCTCACCTTCATCGCCGTAAAAAGAGCTCTTGATTAAGGTGAGATAGAAGGATTTATGGGTGCGCTGGAGAGCGAGCCACAACTCAATTTAAAAAGATTCATCGTTATCTATGTAAGAATTCCATATCAAAAATATCACCATTTCATAACGAACACCGTCAAAAAGTGGAAAGATTGGTCTTCGACTAAATCTCACGAAAAACATTCATGAGGAATGGAATGGTTACGTATGCCCCATTCACGCTCAAGGGAATATCACCCTAGTTTGGGAAATCAATATAATGGATAACCGATTCTGGAATTGACCAGGAGGAAGCGAGCGGATTAGAGAGCTTTCAAGATGATCGAGAATGCAGTGAGGAGAACAGAGAATAACTTTGTGTACACCTGTTCAGCTTCATGAATCTTCCTGCCTTAACGTATGCTTCAGAAACCTGGTTGTTACGTAAGTAGAGTGGAACATCACTCTTCGTTATTGAACGCGCAGCTGAAACGACGATGCTAAGAGTATCTCGTGTCAAGCAAGTGACGGAAAGACTGCGTGCCTCCGACCTACGTCAACGATCAGCTATCAAAGACTCCGTTCTATACTCAACTGTCGAAAATAGAGTAGGCCTGACACATAGTGCGTATGAAGGACAACTGTTGGATAAGACCCGTTAGTGACTGGGTTCCTCGGAATGTCAAACGCGCTGCAGGGAGACCACCGATCCGATGATCAGAGTTCCTAACGAAGAGCCTAGAAGAAAGATATGAAGCTCGAGTTAATAGAGCAAGCAGAACACTTGCACATGACAAAGAGCAATGGCAGATTTACCGGCGCTCACTCGTGTTTCTCGACATTCAACGGGACAACAAATGATACACAGGTAACGGTTGAACCTCTTCAATTTTGTGCATTGCAATAGCAAGTGATGCATCCTATCAGAAAACAAGACACGGGTTCAATGCCCTTCCTATGCCATCCTCCAATTCATGTGGTAACGGCCTAACTCGGTTATCTGTAAGATTGCAAAAGGAATCTATTCGTCCTCCCATATGCGACATCCATGGAGGAGACGAAATCCCTACGCAGCAGCCGATACGGTGAGTGTGAGAAAACGAATCGAACGCAAGGAATTCTAGGAACCGCACAGTAGATGCGATGACAGGTCGTGTGAAATAACCTCAGTACTAGACATAAAGAAAACAACTATTTATGAACGTAATTTTACGACTACACAGATTGCTTGACTTCTTCTACCGACATCAATGTATCCATTAACTCAATCGCATGCCATATATGTGGAAAACGGCACCGTAGTCAGATCGGAAAACGAAAAGTAAACTATAATTACCTCTAACCATTTTAGAATAGCAAACTATGTATATACTTGGATACTTGGAAACTTAGATTGCCCGTCCTCATTGGTTGCACGGGCCCTAGCACAATCTCCACTTTTTTGGAGATTTGCTGGTTAAGCCATTGTGGTACCATGGAATCCCGAGGTCAACCTTGCCAAAGTCACCAAACCAGGCAGGCACAGCCCTTGTGGATCAAAAGGAGATTTACCATAATGCAACTTTTACACCAGGACGGTGGTGGATCCGGGTATTGGTTTATTCTTAGGTGGGCTTTCTGATGGAAACGCCGTGCCCGTTCTCAGCTTGGGAGATCCTGCCGGGGGAGGAATTCCCTGCTGTACATCGCAGCCCGACACCCAGGAACACCTACCAGCCACGATGAGGCGGTAAAGCGTTAGAAAGGACTACGTATATATATATACATAAATGTATATGCATATATATGTATATATACATATGTGTACATACACATGGATAAATCTATGAAAATAACTCTGTGAAAACTTAATTAATTAGAGAAAATAAGCTCCATGTACATCGGCAAAAGAAATACGGTGCGATAAGTGACCAAACAAGAAAGCACTGTAAAATACATAGATTTATTATAGAAAACAGAAAAACAATTTGCAGAAACCGTAAGTATTCCTTTGTATTACTCAATACTGGAAACAAAAAAGGGCAAGTACTGCAGTGATATTAATGATGTCCATTACGAGCATGGTGATGGGTCGACACCACACCGATTCAAGGCAACTAACCGACTAGAGATTTTTCTCACACTTGTTTGCCTCTTCATCTTCTACTTCGACTATTCAGTATAATCAGCTCATGTCTGGTCAAGTGATGTCAGTCCACGAACTACTGAAGCATGATCGTCCAGTTTGTGAGTTGGAACGAAGTGGATACGATACCGATTTCTTCCTACTACTGAAAATCCTTTCTCTAAGAAATTTCAGCATCCCTCATCACTTTCCAGTGGACATGACAATACAGAGGTATTGTTCTATCTGTTCATCACGGACGTAATTGAACTCTCCCATAATTTGTCGTCTATTGCACAAGACCGAATCTAAACTACAATTTGTTCTCGCTTTGATATTTAGAATCTATTTATCATTTCCCAATATCCGTTTTAAAAAATAAGCACTTACAATAGGACATCAATAAAGACAATGCATAAACTCAACTCTTTACTGATACTTGTTCCACGCTTGAAGAACTTTCTGTGCTTTCAGAATTACTATACATATAAAGTGGGTTTTCGTGGCGCATGTAGTGCAGTGGTTAAAGGCTCCCTGCCTGTGGAAACTACCGATTAAACCTGAGTGTTTCGTGAGCGGAACAGCACTCACTATCACTCAGAATATCAAAACACTTCTTCACCTTTCACGCCTTTCGTCGTCTACTCTCGGTGTTGATCAATCGCTGAAGAGAGAGCCATTTGACTTCACAAAATATCGTTGGAGGTCATTGAATGCACAACTCGCCTTTATAATGACTCGCCGTGGCCTACCGATATATCAAGGCAATGCTGCTATCCTCCCAGACAAGTTTGGTACCACTCTGCCAACCCCGAAGGGATAGAAGGCTTGGTGGGTCATGGGCGCGGGTATCGATTCCACGTGTGTGTAACAGGGCGCCTCCGACCACTGCGCTACACGCATCCTAGTGCCAATACAGAAACTGAAGAAACCACTGAAGAAGTCTTCCAATCAAGTAACTCACTAAAGGCACTCTGTTCTGTTACGTACAGTTATGCGTTCATGATAAGTACATGAAAAGGTGAGCAGAGCAAAAATGTATGACGAGCTGGATGTTCAAGTTCATAATAGCTAATTTTAAGTGGACTTCAGATATCTCATTCTAAGTGAGTGTGGTATTGTTAGGACACTAGTAAACAAGTGTATTTTTGGATTTCACGTCCATTTTCCTGAGATCTCTTTGCATTAACGTTTCTTGGAAACCTTCGAAGCGTATTCACCAGACCAATCCATCTCCTAGGATATCTAAAAAACGAGATAGGCACGTGGGAAAACTGGGAAAACCACCAAAGAAAGGAAGGCATCAACTTTCTTGCATTGTTCCTCCTTGGACAGACTTTAAGTCATGCCAATATTACTCTCATAATTAATCGAATCACATTATATTATGGGCTCTGAACTGCACCTTTTGCACCAATCCACCACGAACTGTTAAATTGGAACATAATACTAAGCACAAATTTCAGCAAGCGATAGGTGTAGGTTGGTGCATGTAAGATCTTTAATTTTAACTTAGATTAATTAGGTATGGGATTCAAATATGGCAACAGAAACATGTAGAGGAACTAAGTTCTGACAAAATTATTCCTTAACTTCAAGTTACTATCTTAGCTTTATTCAAACTCTCATCATCGATGATCGGACAAGCTGACACTCATTCACTAGCGATTACCCTGGAGACATGATAGTTAACAAAGATAACCATACCTAGCGTACAATCCTTATCGCGCGTGATAGCTAGCAACACATCAGTGACATCCACGGACAAAACTTTCGTGGTCGAGACTGATTGATAACGACAGTGAGGAAAAGAACTTCGGATGGAAAACAACAAAACATGCAAAAGAATTTTGTTTAACGAAAAACATTTGTGGTGAAATGAAAGACAATCCATAACTATTAAAGGAGTAGGAATAAATAAACATACACACTGTAAACCTTTATGTATTCCTAAACCGCGGGCTCTCTAATGACTTTGTGTAAACCTACTTGCAAATGAAGCTAGCGATTTTACCAATAATAATATAACATCCAAATATCAATCTTGGTAGTCGGAAGAAACCAACTTAACTTCTCTCAAAGGAAAAATTATAGGGAAAAATGTTAAGCACAACCGTTTTGTTTCGCCCTCATCAATCCAATTCATAATGCTCAAAAGATGTGATCATCGTTAACTAACGTACTACGACTAAGCAAACTTCTGACGATAGCCCAATGTTTTCCTTGTTGATTGGCATCAATTCAAACTTAGAAATCCACAGTTCTCCTTTCAGCTTCGAATTTTTAAATCCATATCCTTGGAAGCCATCGGTACTGTTCTACGATGGACGTGATACGAATAACTAATGTGGTAACATTACATGACATGAACTGTAAATGGAAAAGACGAACCCGTCAGAGGAAATTACCGAAAATCTTCACGATTAAAAATGAGTTTGAGAAAAACACTGGAATAAAGCCATAGTGATTCAATAAGAAATGCGGCAACATATGATTGGCGGTAAAAATTTCGACATCAAAAGAATTCCTATTCAGAAAACCATTAATTGCTAGCTAGGAAGCAAACTTACAGATGTATATTTTCGCACATTGTTTCTTCCCTTTCCACGAGACTGTACTACAAAACTCTAGCACTTTTTAAAATATGTTACTACATTTTAAAAATGTTCAAGTGCATCCATCCTACATAAGCAGTTGTGCAAAATTTCGATAGAAGACGAGTGTTTCCTGAGCGAATCAGCACTAGCTATCACTTATGATATCAAAACACCCCTTCACGTTCTATGTCCTTCATCTCATCTGCACGATCACTGGTAATTTTTAATAATTCTAAAATTTATGTGTGCAAAAATCCTTTTTCAACGTAAATCTACAACCGAAGTCAAGACACCAGAGATTATGAGGAATGAAGAACAAGACTAGCAAAAATAGAGCACCATTTTACCACAAAATTGCCACCAAGCAGTGTTAATTCAACGAAGAAATGCACTCCCTAATTATCCAAGCAGTATTAGCTTATCATAGAGTCTGGGAACGACAGGATCCATCTCGTCATTGAATAGAGCAAATATACCATGAACTACCACTTTTTCTACTCTTTTCCGCTGACGCATTGGTTGTCTTTCTTACATTTGATTCATTATACACGAAATTTGCTTCGAATAACAACAAAGTAAGCATAAATCAATGGTCCAGTACGACGCTAAAAATTTCACGTTCTTACGTTAGCTAAAAAATGCTGGGAAAGATGAAGAACTGCGCTTCTCATACAATCCTGACTAGACGCCTATATAACACTAGTCCAAGGTTAGAAAAACGTATATTTAAATAACCAAGATTCACTCACTTGCAATGAGCTAGTGTGCCCCTGGAAGAGATCCTGATCCCTTGATTCACAATGGTCGACATATCGGCTGACTTAGTCTACTCCAAAAACCGAACTGCAAGCTATTCATAAACGATGAGATGAATTAAAATTTAGTCATTCTAGCTGTTACGTACATAACTGCTATTATGTGAACCATAAAGGATAAAGAATAAAGCGCTCAGCGTTCTCTAGCGTCTATATGACATGCGCCATGCATTCGACTTCATTAACTAACGTTAAAGCCGATTCGGATCATAGTTAGTCTATACAATGAATTGCAGTGGCCCACCAATGTATCAAGTCAGTTCTGCTATTCTCCAAGACAAGAGCGGTAAAAATTTGCCGGTCCAGGAGGGATGAAAAGCTTGGTGAACCATGGGCGCTGGATAGAACTAACGACCACGTGTGTTTCGCAGGCCACCACTGGCTAGTGAGCTACATGCGCCTAATGTATGCGAATCATAGCTAAAATTTTTAAAGAACTACCACATTCTGGAATATACTAGTGCTTAACTAGGTAGCTAGATAACACTTGGTTCTAAAATGGATAACTGAGTACTAGTGATTTGTGTCAATGAAAAACTCTACATCCTACGCATACATGCAGCCTCGCAAACCAATTTCACTAGGTGCTGCTAAAACTGTAAAGTTCTACATGCCCAAAGTCCTAAGTGTGATTATTCATAAAGTGGTTTAGTATTTACACGTACTTCCACAAAAAAGATTGCAAATGGTTTCAAACACGATCCAAAGCTTATTTGTTTCTCTAAGATGATGATGATGAAGAGAAGATTGCCAAAATCAGTGCCCACCTTCACTCGATCAAGAAGATGATTGAGTAGCTATAGCTATACCCGACGCTGCTTATAGTACTTGATCGTTGGCGTCGTCCAACATATTAGGAATGCAAATCGATGGATGTATCCTGCTATAACAAATAGATCCATCTCCATCAATCTTTATTTTATCAACTTATAATTATTCGAATCTTTCATCTTTGTGTCGTTTTCTTGTTCAGCAATCGCGAGGTTTTTAGACAGCATACATTTACTTCCATAGAAAAACACAATACAATACAACGCTAGCTGACGCTTCGGCAGTATCGCCTTCTTCAGAGCCTGGAAGGGTATACTGATATATCTTTCATCTTTCTTTACTTTTCGACAAGAAATGCGTATGAAAAGCACTCGATTGACAGGAGCCGTTAACGACTGGATTCATAGGGATCAAGGGGACGACAGGCAATACAGGTGATATAATTCCTCGATTAAACCGCGTGATCGTCATCTATAGATCGATAACAAATGGTTTTAAAATACTTTAATTGCGCCCATTTAAGGACTTTGAGGCATTCATGCTTGAATAACGCTTAGGAGCCCGATGTTTGGTCAAACGTGCAAGTAAAAGCTAGCCAAATTCGATTCTGGCTCATCATTTACACTTTCTACAGCTCCATTAACTCTAATGGTTACAACATACTTGTAAACTCACTAATCTCACTTTCTTCATCAACGATTTTCAACAGGACTAAGGCATTTGATCCGTATTCTCGAAGCTTTTTCAGTAACTGTCTAGACCTGTCGATTGGTAAAAGGTGACGTTCCTGGAATCACTGCCAATTAAAACATTAAGTCGAATCTAAAGTTCAAAAAAGATGAAGCTCTCGACGTCAACGAATGCTTTAGGGAAGCCCCATGGATTCGACCTTATTAGGCATCGTTTGTAGGCGATAGAATGCACGCTTCGCCTTTGCATTAACTCGCGGTAGCTTACCGATAGGTCAAGCCTGGTATCCTGCCAGACAAGTCTGGGACCAATCTGCTGACACCGGAGAGATGGAGGGCTCCGTAAACCTAGGACGCTGGAATCGATCCCATGTGCATTGCACGGCGCTTTCGACCACTGCGCTATATGCGCCCAAAACTCAAACCAAGTGAAAGTATTAGATGTGGTAAACAAAATGGTACCTTTTTCTTCCGAAGTTTTTAGCAGTGAGAAATCGTCCTTTTTGGCTGCTGGGATGAGCGAAGAGCGTAAATACTTTCCCCACAGATGTTTTCAGTTGAAACACCACACGTACTGCGTTCCACACCATCCGATTGACTCCCAGCTATTCTGAAGCCCGCAGAATAATGTACAGAAATGTTTTCAAAGTGGTTTGTGAACGACAAGTGTCCGGAGCAATGAAATAAACATCCATTAGCGAGAAAAATTTTGTAAAGTCGGAGAAATGAATATCGACGAAGACTGCAGTGGAAAGTAATTGAGATTCCTCACACAACATGTTACATTAATATGGCGATTTGCCAAATTACACTTGTAAACAATAAAAAGCAAGTAAACACTACGAACAGAACACCACTCGGGAAAAAGAAGAAGATTCTATTCGCTACTATAAGACTAGCGAATTTTATGGAGAAATCCCGACTTTAATGCTCTAACTTAGACTGAAGCTAAGTCTCAATTGGGACTGTAAGGGTATGAAAACTTATGAAGTGGAATCAATGTAAGCACAAGTGGGATACAACAGCTGTACAAAGAATACCGAGTGACCGCCAACAAAAGGAATTCGTGCGGTTGCGAACGCGTCTGTCGTTGATACGCGTTTTCTTGCTAGCAATTGCTACAACGGCTAAAAACACTATGTATGTTTATCTAGTAACACCTTCTTTATCAGTCATATTAGCTTATTCGTAATGCTACGCTAATTAGCTTCAACAACTCTAATGCTAGTCCCAATCGTAACAGGACGGTAATGAGGAAGGCGAAATTGTCGGAACGTCGGCCATCTACCAACGACAACAACGACAACAATAGCAACAACGTTAACCATAGCAACCTCGCATCAGCTCAACAAAATCAGTTCATAATGACATATAAGTTAATTCTAGTGCTGTTAATCAACAAGTGATCCGAGCAGAACGCCAATAAACCCTGCAGTCTTTCCAGTATTTTTCCAGCAGGCCCACTCCGTAAGCTTCGCTGACTCGAGGGGTATCACGGTTTTCATCTGAGGCTCGCCGTTCTCAATGCATTAAGAAAAGAGCAGTCGCCGTTGGATATCTGGGCTCTACGCCCATAAGTTAGCACCTAACTGGACTTGGAGATAAAAATCTCGAACTGATCAGCTTGGAAGATGTCTCCGGGAGATGCAGGCTTGCTGTCTATCGTTGTTCGGTACCAAAGAACATCCTCAACGAACGACGACGAAGCGATAAGTCACTG